AGAGAAGCTATTAAGAAAGAATAACAGAGGAATCATGTATAGAACTCTGGAGTGGCAGAAGGATGGGATCAGTAGACGAGAGAGAGAGAGAGAGAGAGAGAGAATATTTAGCTCTTTTAAGATATAGTTTGGATCGAAAATTAATTTTTTCATACGAAATCTCAACTATTTATATAATAAAAATGTGAAATATGGAAATTTTTTTATTTTATTATGTTTTAACCAATAATTATAAATAGTTTAAATCAAAATCAATTGACTATAAATAAATTTTAACATGTTAGTGCAGTAGTACCGTAGCCTTATCCTAGTAAAAATTATAATATCAAAAAATTATTTTTCAATATCGTATTAAAATATTATAAAATAAAAGTTTAGTTACGACTTAATTTTGTAAGATTTCAACTAAAGAAAAATATTGTGGATTGATTTAAAAAATTTAGCATCGAGTGTAACTTATTTTTAATCGAAACTTAATGTCACATAGTTGTAACTGTTTTTTTTTTTGTTATAGAATATCTAGATTTGTGTTAACTACTCCATCGACCTCGAAATATTGATCATTATAGCCCAAACGGATTTAAAACAAATCTCCTGAGAAAATAGGGTAGCTAACCCTTAGAGAGTATGAGAAGTGTTAAACCAAATGAATCATAATTTAATTAGACGCTCTTTTTAAATTTATTTCATTATGGTACCTCATGTATTACATTAGTTTTATTTTTTTTTAAAAATATTATTTGAACTTAATTTAAAAATCTAATCAATTGCAACTAATGGATTGGAATTTAGCTTGATCAACCTTAAAATCCACAATTTATTCAATACCCCCAATGAATTAGGTCCGTATAGTTTGTTGAATCTTAAAATATAGGCTAGCTATTAAGTAGAAAACAATTTGGCAATGGGAGGGAAGTTGAGCTAGAGACCTCCATATCATAAATGGGATGGCTCACCCACTTGGATGGGACCCTAGTGCTCATCTTGATGTAGGTTGATGTCACCCCTTTAGCATTAACCTTTATTTTTACTTTTCTTTTTTTTATCCTTCTTAAAATAAACAAAATTGAAAAATAAAATTGAGTAAAAAGAGATTAACGTTATTAATTAAACTACTTTTTTCTCCTCCTTGATTGATGTTCATGCATGTGATAGAACCATAAAAAGGTTGCAAAACTCGATTTGGGAGTTCTGATAAAAGTATATATTTATTGCATATTATTTACGAGTTTTCTTAAAGCAAAAGTCCAAAAATATTTGTTGACAATGAAAAAGTGCTTTAGTTAACATGAACATATCGATTTACCTCGACGATGGTAATAATAATAATAATAACAATAATTTACAAATAGTACAATGTATTTTTCTCGCATGATTTGTCAACATTACATTGGCATGAGTTGGAAGAGAGATACTTTTGTGTCTTGACAAGGAAGGACAAATGGAAGTCCCCTTTATGTTTTGAAAACCACCCTTTTAACCCTTTGCTCAATAACTTTTTGTTTGACCCCTGCAAACTTATCCCTTAAACCAGCCTTTTGTTCCACTTTATCACCCCCCTCCCCCTCTTCCTTTGAGTTAATTTTTTTGGCAAACAATGATTCTTGATGGGAAAGAAGTACCCTATACTAAAGTAACATTTTCTAGAGATTCTAATAACCTTGACAGCTAACAATGTCCAATGCCAAAGATAAAAAGTTCAACATAATTTTTTGCCTATTTGTCACTTTTGGTGTTCCAATAGACTTGACACATTTGGGCTTCTTTATTTCATTCTTGCCATTTCAATTGTTGCTGATCCACCCTCAAATTATAATCATAATCATAATTTTGGACAAGCCTTATCTGAGTGGTAAAGCTAATCTATTGTCAATACTCGGTTGCTATGTTCACTGCGTTCACTGTTATGTTCTTAGCTCCAATTTCACTTTTGTTACGAACTCATAACTACTAATTCTGATAAGAAATAAACTCATTCATAGTAATATTAGCGCATCGAGATTATGGTTAATTTATAATTGGTCCAGAATAAGCCCTCTATCCGCCTATTATCTGACTCTCATTTGTTTAACTCAACTCTAGTAACCGTGTTGCCTTACTTGGTTGGAAGCACAAGAAGGTGCATAGCTTATTAGGAATTAGCTGGCTTAGAGATGAAAAGACTAATTAGTAGTTCTATTACATAACGCGGGTGTATACTTGCTTGCTTACTCAACTCATTCGAACAAGAAATCCAACTTGACTCACTTTTGGCTCGCTTAGCCCTAGCTCAAAACATTAAACTCACTTCGCCTACTCAACGAAAAGAAATAATTTACTTGCTTGCTTAACTTGAACATGACGTCATGAGTTCCGGTCACAAGAACAGCCTCATCCCATAATGACTTTACACTCATTTAATATTGTCTAACTTTTATACATATCAGAGTCTCATATAATGAACCGCTATTTTTTTTTTTTAATTTTCCAAATACATTTACTATTAGCCAGCTCCCACCCATGTACCGGTACCAAGCTAAGCATGGATTTTTTTAGCTCCCTTTCTTATCTTGATAAAGTCTATCAACTAGTGTTGGTTTTTACGATCAAGTCTTCATTATATGCATATTAACACAAGTAAAACATGTTGACAACCAACTACTCAAAATTTTTATTTGTAGGTAATATAACTCAAAGCGTTTCTAATTTACCAAAAAAAATAAAATCAAAATACTTATATACTTGATGGCATGTGGCTATGCTGCCAAAAATGAACTAAACACGGACATGTTACGCATATTAAGGTAGTGTAAAGATTGGAATCGGAACTCCTTTTTTTTCACATGTTCAATCATCATGGTTTTCTTAATTTAAAAGTTTAAGGTATTAGAATATGTGTGATTAGAGTACTTAAGCATACCAACCAACTTAAATACTTATCTATATAATAAAGTACAATACAATTTAATTTTCAAAAGATAAATAAAATAATATTTACTTTTTATGGTTGAGATTTTTTTAAATTTTACTTTAAAATTAATCTGACGATTAATATTAACGAGAAAATAGGTCCTTAAAGATGTGTTTGAAATAAATTTTTAAAAATTATTCTAAGACTTACAACTTTTCATAAATATTTTTAAAAAAAAGTAGTATTTGGAACTGTACCACAACCACCGTCCCACCACTATCCCCACCACCACCATCACCACCATTATCGCCGCCACCTCTATTCCACCATCTCTGCCACAACAACCACCAACAATATCGCCACCCCACCACCGCGGTCGCCACCTTACCACCACCATCGTTGCCACCCCCACTCCTACCTCTTCCATAACAACCATCACCACGTTCCCACAACAACCACCACTATCGCCATCATCACTGTAGCCCCAAATTTAATAGAGAAAATAAGTTTTTAAGAGTGTATTTTGAATAACTTTTTAAAATTTTTTCTAAGACTTACAACTGTTCATAAATATTTTTAAAAAAAGTAGTATTTGAAATTATACCACTACCACCACCGTCACCCTATCACCACAACTACCCCCACCACCACCACCACTATCGTCGCCACCACTATATCACCACCTTTGCATCAACACCTACCAACATTGTCGCCACCCCACCACCATCACTGTTATCGCCACCCTATCACCACCACCACCACCATCTCTACCACCCCACCACCACTTTTTTCATTACAATTACCACCACTATCAGTGTCCCACCATCACCCGTACCACCCACCACCATTACCATTACCACCCACGTCTGCCACCATCACAACCAATTAGTGTTATTCATTACAACCATCACCGTGTTCCACCACCACCACTCGCCCCACACTACAATCAATGTTTAAATTTTTTTTTTTTATGTTTGTAATTTAATTTTGGGTGTGAATATAAATATTTTTATTATTGATCAGTTTTTTTTATTACTCCTAGTATATATATTATATAGAAATAGATAGAGATAATGAGCATATCATTCATCCTTTAAGAAGTTCATATTCCCATGCCTAAATGGTAAACCTCAGGATTGGGCCCAACAGCCCATGGGCTGGCTTGAAAGTATGACGGGGCACCAAAATTTAAATTGCTGCTAATGGTTAGGTAATGGCTTGGTGGCTCCTATACCCAACATGAAAAATAATGTGTCTGGTGCAGTGTGAATGATTTATCAAGCTATCATTTTTTTTTCTATTTATTCATAAGATATCATAGACTTTTTATTATCATGTTGAATTTTTTTTTTCTATTTTCTAGCAATAATATTTAGTTGCATTACTCTTGCTGAATAGTGCAATAATGTTGTTTTTATAAATATATTCAAATTGCCTTAGTGGATTTTTATTTTAATCTTACTTTTATTAACTCTACTTCTCCTATTTTTCAAATAATATCATTTCTAATTGCTATTATATCTAATTTTTGCACATATTTATATTAATATCATCATTTCTTGTCACATTTAATTTCGAGCTTGTTTTTTTTTTATTTAGCGTAATTGGTCTATGGTTTCGCTATAGAACACATTTCGAGCTAAGAGATATATTTCATTCACATAATATACTAAATGTATTCTGTCACTTACTTCATTTTGCTCTTGTTCCATGAGCAACCTAGTTTTCAATATTTATTCCATACTAATAATTTATTTAATATATAGAAAATGATTTTTTTTTATCTCGTTTGATCTTTGATATTTACTGTTTCTAATCGAATTCTAAGCTTGCTACCTATATTATAAAATTTTATTCCATTGATTTTAAAGATTTTCTAAATAAATGATTAAACGAGTCGAACTCGAATATTTGCATACAATTGAGTCAAATTTATCGGACTCATTTTTTAAATAAAACAAAAAATTTATTTATAAAACGAATCAAACTTAAAAGAACGAAAAACGACACCAAACCTGCAGAACGATATGATTAACGACCCTACTTATAGCCGATTTCACAAAAGTCAAAAGTTTCAAAAACTACCCACACACAACACCTATATAGGCTATAGCCCGCGCGCTCCAACAAGCAGAGCGCGCGAAGATGCTGGGCTGCTGTAGCAGAATCTCCAACGTCTCCAATACACTCTATTTGGGGACTTTCGTCAAACGCCTTCCACTCTTCGAACACACAACATTTACTCCCAGCAAAATCAACAGAAAATCCTGTACGACCACCAGTGTCCTCAACAATTCACATTTCGAAACCCTAACCCCTCACCAAAAACAACAGATTAACCTTTACGTAGAAACTCTTCTTCAATGGAATCAGGTCTCTGTGTGTGTATAGGTATATATATTTATAGGGATATATGTATATATCGACGTTTGTATTTTATTTGAAGGTTTTTATTTGCAGAAGATGAATCTGACGGCCGTAAGGGAGGCAAGTGGGGTTATGGAGAGGCACGTTGAGGACTCTCTTGCGATTATAAGTCCCATTAAGAGCTCATATCTCTCACATTGTGGAGCCTCATGTGAAAACCTCAACCTTGTTGACGTCGGTAGTGGGGCGGGGCTTCCGGGATTGATCTTAGCCATTGCATGCCCTGGTAATATTTTTAGATTTATTGTGTTGCATTTTATTTTATGATCGCTTTTTAGTATTTATTCCAAATTTTTTGCTTATTGGGAAATTGTGGATTACTTTATCAGGTGATTGATTTCAATTTAGTTATTTTGCTCTTATTGTTATTGTTTGCTGTTTGGTTGCGAAGAAAATGTAGGAATGAGATGAAATTTGATACTGGATTTTGAAATTTGATCAGCCTAGAAAGCATAAAACTTCATGCGCAATTAATCATCAGAAACTACTAGGCAGAGCTGATCATTTTATTTTTTTTCCTGCTTCAAAAATGAGACGCTCAAAGGATCATTTTTGCATCTAACAAACGTTGCTTATGTGTAGGTTGGAATGTGACGCTGCTAGAATCTTTGAATAAGCGTTGTGTCTTCTTGAAGCATACCGTCAGTCTTACTGGCTTGTCAAATGTGCATGTTATTCGAGACAGAGCTGAGGTATATATATCACCCCTTATAATCTGAAGCTATCACCTCACTTAGCATGCTAAGTACATATTATAATGTTTACTGGTTTTATTTCTGTGTTCAATTGAGGTGGTTTAAGCTGAATTATATATCTTCTTTTTCTTATTTGGATTTGTTTTCACATATATCAAAGGCTCGGAAAAATTGAATCTAACCATACGAGGCATTACACCAATGCTCATCAGTCTGCTTGTATGAGATTTTGCTTAAATGTTACACTCCTTGATGCACCTGTCAAAGTTCTTCGATAAACTGGTGCTCTACCACACATTGTAACTATGTGTACTTGCTCCTTATTCTGCTTTGGGATATGAGTCACATGACAGTTCTCTTGGGAATTTTTTTTTCTCCATTTCTCGTATTTTATTTTTAGAAATTCTGTTTTGATTTTTTTACTCACCTCTACTAGATAAATTCACATTATGAACCTTGTTATAGGACAGAATTTGGGACAAGATTCTGGCTTTAGAGAGGTATTTGATGTTGTAGTGGCCAGGGCAGTTGCCGAAATGAGAATCTTAGGTAATGTGAATTCTTTTTCTCTAGGTTTCTTTTATGCATCCGAGCGTTTTATTATTCCTTGAGAAAGATTCTTTCTGCTCTTTCGAGTTTCAGCTGAGTTATGCCTTCCTCTAGTCCGAGTAGGTGGATTATTTGTAGCTGCAAAGGGTCATGATCCGCAGGTACATGTTTATTGTTTCCATTTGGAGCTTACAGACTTGCATATAAAATTTTGTCTGATGGTTGGGCATATGATTTATGGATCTGTCCGCTATAAGTTCCATAGTATAGTTACTTTAGCAAACACTGTGACTAACACATTACTCTATTATCCTTTCTTTCTTTGTACTCCCTTTTTCTCTACTCTCTAGTATTGTATACTAGGAGTTTATTTCAGAATGTTTTCTCAGCACATGCTTAATTGCTTATAAACTTTATGGGTGTTTACATCTCATTTTGTACAAGATGGGTTGGAAGTTGGAACCAAACTGCACGGATATAGGTGCAATGTATCCCAGGGAAAGGAATGTATGGAATATTTTCATTTACAATTCCTTTCAGAAACCTTATTTAAAGATTGCATTTGTAAGCTGAAGAAATGTGTGTCATCTTGTGTCGATGCATACTTATGGGATCTATCTTAAAGTAGCTAGAGGTTATTTGAACAGTCTGTCCAACCAAGTCGAATTGTGCAATTTGTTCTTCATTGTACCTGAAGGTACTATTCTATGCTCAGATGGTGAGTTGGTAGATATTTGTGGTTTTGTCACATATAAAAACCAACAGTACTATATATCATGAAATACGGACAATAAAAATAATCAACTTTAAGTGCTATGCGAAACAAAGTGAATTCGTTAAAATATTACGTATACAGTTGAAACATATCATACCTGTGGGACGTTCAAATGCCCCAACAGAACTTTTATTTTTCTTTAATACCACTTTGTAGCATAAAATAAATGCCTGTTCTGTCATCCTTTTTCTTCTTTTTAAATTATTTTTGACATACGTCAAATGTGAGCTAGTTTTATTGTTTAATTCATGTTGACAGGAGGAAGTTAGAAGAGCAGAGAGAGCAATTCATCTGATGGGTGCTTCTGTATTGCAAACATGCACCGGTACAATTTCTGACTTCGTTTGTCTAGGAATAGTCAGCCGATGGCTTAAGACCATAATGGACAATCTTGTATGCAATTTTGAGTTTTAAGTTTTAACAACTCTTATTCAGAAGTTCAAAGCCAACACACTTCCATTTTTCTCGGGCAATGTTTCAATCTAGCGGATCTATTGTAAGATTTTGTAGGGGCTACTGTAAATGTTCTTTCCCACTTCATGGGTCAGCTTAGGGACATGAGTTTGGAAAATGTTGTTCATTGCCTCAGGTTTCCAATTGAAGCCCAGCAAAAATCTGGGTGTCTTCTGTTAGTTGTCCTACACACACACGCACACACACTCACTCGTATATTGTGGTTGGTCTCTGTATTTGGTTACAATCCATATCTTGGCCTGTCAATTAGTTTACTTAGTTGGATAGATTCTTAATGTTAAATTAACAGGATTCTCGTCCTAGACTTGCATCACTGCATTTTCCAATTGAAGGATATTAATACATCTTTTCTGAATCCAGTGGAATCACACAGCCCAAATGGACAAAGGACTGCCATAATATGTTTGAAAGGTGGCCCCACCCCAAGTAAATATCCTCGTGATCCAGGTATACCAGCAAAGCTACCTATGTAAATAACCAGATGCTCAATCTGCCTGCTTTAAATTTAGTATATGTACTTTTTGAAGTTAGTAAGATTAGTTGTATACTTTTGAGATAGGATATTTGGATTGCATGAAAGGAAAAAAATGCTCTTTTGTAATCAAGTGTAGCAAATACTGGGAATGTCAGAAGTAATGTACTCATTTGTTTAACTATTATTTATTTGTATAGAATATTTTCTTTAAGCAAAATCATTATTTTCCCCTTTTTTTATATTGTTCCTCAAGGCTCATAGATTTTATATGTCATAAATTGTCCAATTTTCTCACTACTGATAATTGTCGGTTGGTATTTGTTAGAATATGAGGATTGGTAACCTTGTAATAAGGATATACCTAAAGGGTTCTATTGGTCTTTTGATTGTTTTTCACATAAATATATATATTCACATGGGGAGAGAGGCGTGTGTAAGATACGACTTCACTCTCTGCCTCTTCTATTCTTCTTCTCTCCAAAACCCTATTTTCCTACTTTCACAGTATTCATAACTTTCATGAGTTTGTCAGTTCTGTAAAATTAGATGACTGAATTTTCTAGATTATATCCCAAATCTTGTCTAGAAAATTCCAAGAAAAAGCAAGAAAGGGAAATAAGAGGCAAGTATTTTGAAAAGAATGCCACCCTGTGTGAAAAATAGGCTATATTATTTACTCCTGCCTATAATTTACTCTTAAAAGTCAATATATTTTACCTTTTATTGATTTCTATTATTGTCTCGTGGTTCGGGATATTTAATGAGGGTTTGTGAAAAATTCAGTCATTCTAGAAAGCCTTGTTCAATTCTTGACTGGACCAATTCTTTGAACACAGATGTACATAATTAAATGTTGTTACTTAACATACAATTCAACTCAACCCCACAAAGTCTTGTCCTAATATTTTTGGGGTCAGCTACATGAATCGTATCTCGACATTGCTTTATTAAGGTTCATACTTTCTATTAAGCCATAAGTTATCATATCTTTTTATTAACTTCATTGAAAGTTAATTTTGGTCATTCTTCACCCATTTGATTATCGATAATAGCTATGAATCACTCTTTTTCACTGGTGCAATGGTTAGCTGTTTACAAATATATCCAAACCACCTAAGTCAATTCTCCCATTATTTTATATGAACATCAAATTTGTCGATTCTCCCTTGATTTGTCTTATTTATGTGCTACCTTTATTTTTTTCACAGATATTCTCAATCCTACTTTTACCACATATCTATCTTAACATTCACTTTTCCACCACACTTATTTTTGAACGTGTTGTTTATAGGATCAAGTATTGTATATGAACATCAAATTTGTTGATTCTCCCTTGATTCGTTTCCTTTATGTGCTACCTTTATTTTTTTAACAAATATTCTCATTCCTCATTTTATCACATATCCATCTTAACATTCACATTTCCACCACACTTATTTTTGAACGTGTTGTTTTAAGGATCGAGTATTGTATATTAAAATCAAATTGTTTTGGTTGTATAACAACAAATTTTAAGTAGCAAGTTTTGTTTTCACATGTTTAGTTTGACACAAGTGTTACATGTCTATTGGTACTCTCTAGGTAAAATCTTGAGAAAAAAAAAATGCAGGGGTAAGTGAGTTGGTCGATATGATTGCTATCTTTGTTTCTACTTTGCTTGATCTTGTGGACTCGTCTTGATTCAAATTGGTTTGAGGATTGTATGGGGTAAACAAATCTTATTTGGGATAGGGGAGGGGTGTTTAATAATGGTGGTATGTTCACATACACTTGGGAAGCACATATAGAATAAGATAATTATGTTATCTTGTTTTACGGGTCGTACTCCAAAGGAGTGTTAGATATATGTTGTATCCCTTTGTCTCATCAGTCCCCTGATCTCATTTCAACTTTCCTCACATCATAAAGGAAAGAGATTTGGAAATAGAGACAACAGTTGGATTAGATAATGTTGGCAACTTGGGTTGAGAAAAAGGACCTTTACCTAACCTCCATTCCACTTGTAACTAGTTAATTAAGTCAAAAGGTAGAAGTTTCTAATAAAACTTTAATTAAGAAGATATTTATCAGGGTAGATTAAATTTTTGGGATATGATGCTGCCACAATATTATATTACAAAGCCTAAGCTTAGTTATTAGGGAAAGAATCATATGATCGATGTGTTTGATTTGTTGACTTTGTTTATTGAATATAATTCATGAATCCTAGTATGGGTTTCATACTTTCATCCTTTTCATTTCAATATAATGTAGTCTACTTAGAGGTCTCTTGGTATCAACTGTGATGCATCAATGGTATGATGATGTCAGCATTTAGCGCTTAGTTAATGCTACAGTAAGAAGGAAGTGCATTTCTATTATTTGTACTTTTGCAGTTCCCAACCCTACTTTTCTTGGATTAACTTAACCAAGAGAGGGTGGACAAGAGAAATTGGTGACACTCATGATTCTCACTATATCCCTACTGCTGCTGGCTATCTAGATAGGTTATGAATGTGGGGTTCATTGGCCCTAGAATGTGGAGTTTACAGTTCGAGAAAATGGCAACCTTATGTTGCATCTCAGATCAGTAGTGCAAGATTTGTGGAGTACATTACTTAAATTGTTTTTTTGTCACTGCACCAAAGGCATCCATAGCTAGAGAATCATCTTGAATTACACTATTCTCATTGATTTTGCATTGAGGTTGGTTGGGAATATGTATTCATTTTATCATTAAAATAATACTGTTCTAGTTATTTTGTGATTTCTGATGAAAATTCAAGTGGAAATTGCTCATGAAAAAAAAAAGTAGTCAGTATGTTAGTTATTTTGGTAAGTCGTATTAATATATCAAATATATGCTGTAGTCTTAGGAATCCGGTTTAGAATCGAGGATAAGATATGGACGTTTTGTTAACACTGAGGGAGTGAGGGTGAAATTTCTTGAGTTTTCACTAACCCACTCTATCATGTCTTTTGATCCATGACCCTAGTGCCTTTGTCTCTCTTAGGCGTAAAGAACTCATGTTTGGAAAAAGAAAGGGCAAAGAGGGGCCCTTTCTCCACCTATTTTGTCTCTGAAGTTAAAGAAAAAGATAATATTTATTTATACATTAAAATATATATTCTACCTTCTGAAGGCAAGTTGAAAACTTATAAAAAATCACGTCATGGTCCCCAAAAGTGCTAATCTACCTGCCAACCTGTGGAAATTTGGAAGTCTGTCCCAACTTTATATATTGGTATAGATATTTATATAATAAAATAATTTATAATTCAAATCTCAAAAGATAAATAAAATAATTTTTGTTATTCACAGTTGCAATCGTTTCAAATTTTACTTTAGAGTTAATCTAACAGCTAATATTAACACCCTAAATTTAATAGGAAAAATAGGCCCTTAAAAGTATGTTTAAAATGACTTTTTAAAAGTATTTATATGAATTATTTCTCATAAGTACTTTTAAAAAAAATAGTGTTTGAAATCGCTCTACTACTACCTCTACCACCACCACCGCCACCACCACCGCTGCCACCCCTACTACAACTGACACTTAAATTCATTTATCTTTCCTCTACGTTTGTGATTTGATTTTGAATATAAATATAAATATATTTATTTGTTTACAATTTTTAATTACTTTGTGCCTTCAGGCACAGACAATAACTAGTGTATTTATATTATCTATGTCTGTATGTATGTATGTATGTATGTGTGTGTGTGTGTTTGCATGTATGTATTGATGTATTTTCCTATTTTTCATTGAAAGGCAAGTTGAAAACATACGACTATTTGAGTAACCCCACCAGGGCCCCCAGTAAGTGCTAATCTAGCCGCCAACCTAGTCGGAAGTTGGAAGTCAGTGCTAATTTCATACTTCACTTCCACCCTTCAATGAAACCCAAAAAAGTTCCGCCCTTTAATAGTCTCTGAAAATAATTATGTTGACTTTCGGCTTAGAGATGAAACATTAACCGTAGAATTATGGCTTTCCATTTGATAACATTTAACAACCATCAACAGTTTCTTTTTTTCAAGGAATACACTCCTCAAAACTCCATAACTCTTTTTAAGTTACAGACATGACACTCATAAAAAAACAGACGAAATAAAAGTTTGAAACAAACAAAAAGAGAAGGAAACCAAATAACATTTCTCCTGCTCTTATGTACAAAACCGTGGAGAGAAGGAAAAAATAAGTCTGTCCTTTAGAGAAGAGGGACTAAAGCTGCCAAACCTTGATGTCACTGTCAAGACTAGCACTGTATAGGAGATATGAAGATGTAGTGTCAGACTGTTTGTATCGATCACATGCCACCGTCAAGCACTTAACCGGGCCTTTGTGCCCCTCCAATACCACCAAGCAAGTGTAGCATCTCTCAACCCCTCTCCAAATTCTTACAGTTTTGTCTGCTGAACCGCTGCACACTAAATCCGACACCACAGCCAAGCACAATATGGACTTGGCATGCCCTCTGAGCGCACCAACCGCCACCATATTGCCATGATCCTCCTTCTGCCAAACCACTATTGATCTGTCACATGCCCCGGAGTACAACACAGATGCATCAGTGCTCAATGCCAGTGCATTGACTCCAGAATTATGTTTCTCTAGTGTAGCAACTAGAGAATGTTTCTTCTCTCCTGAGGTTTTCCTCCACACCTTTATTTTTTTATCAGCTGATCCTGTGTACACGTCTCCATCGCTAGATAATGCCACTGCATTTATCGCATCATCATGTGCGTTCCCTACTGACTCCAAACATTTGAAGTCAGTTGTCCTCCAAATCTTGAGTGTCCGATCCCATGAAACCGAGTAGAGGAGGGACCCATCACTTGACAACGCTAGTGCTGAAACGGTGTCAACATGATGGACCCATGTGCACTTCTTGTGGCGTCGGACCCTCACATGGTTCTTGGGGATTATAAGGTTAAGGGCGCGATCACCAAGTGTTGGAAGAGTGGCTAAGTGCGTGAATTTTTTATGGTGGTTTTCTTTGGCATTGATTTTCCACACCCGGATTTTGTGATCCTGATGAGCACTGAAGATTTTATCAGCTAGAACTACTAGGGACTTCACTGCTCCCTTTCCTGCAATTACCATGTTGTCAATTAGGTTGTCAAGATTGAGTTCAGTGCTCAAAGTGTTGCGCTTCCACAGTCGAATTTCTTTGTCAGAAGAGCCTGTATAGAGGTACTTTCCGGCAAGGACAAGAGAGGATATGTAGGAGTTGTGGCCTTTTATAGTGGCGATGCAGTGGTAGTGTGTGGTTGGAAGGTGGTGCTGTTGGTGATATGTTTGTGTTGTGAGAGAAGGTATTGATGGGAGGCTTGGCTGGGAACATAGGGAGGTTGACGACGGTTGAAGGTGGTCTGAATGTGATTGATCAGGATCATCGTTTAGGAAACAATTTTGATCATGTAGCATTATTCCAAGGAGTGTGTGTGTGTGTGTGAGAGAGAGAGAGAGCTAACAGAGTTTGATATATAAAGAGTAGGAGCATCAAGAGCAGCTGTGGTTTAGCAGAAAAGAGAAGGCCTTGCTAGTACTTTTGGCCAAAAAAAATTGGAGCTGCTAGGACACAGCATAGTCTAATCAAATATGGAAGCAAAGGTGGCCGGGTTAGACTTTCAAATTGGTGGGTGGGTCATGTGAATTGTATTGGTTCATCACAGAACATCTATTGAGTCATCTCTCTCTCTCTCTCTCTCTACACACGCATATGTATTGATTATCATCAGAAGAAGGTTACATGGTGTAGGTTCGCTTTATCTTATAAAATGTTTTTACTTATCATACCATGGTTGGGAAGGTTGTATCCACATCAATGTGGAGCTTAGCAAGTTAGCTCGGCCCCACCCCCAAAATCCAAATGGGTCCTTCCTCGGAAAACCCCTTGGCTATGATTACTGAGAGTCTAAATTTAGGATACCCTAGCCACCCACTATACTGCATTCTTTGGATGGTTGCAGCATTAAAGTAGAACTATGATTCTCCCATGTTGATGTATTTAGGCATCCTTTAACTTAGTTATCATCTATATATTGAATGGTTATCGGTGTCTAGTGCAAGAGACTAGAGTATTGATGGACACTGATATATTTTATGGGTTCTATTATTCGGTTTTGGTACCATAAGTATTATCCAATCAAGTCAAGTTATAACTTGATAACGTCAATATAATTTTTTGGATCGATCCCAGATTTTCAGACCTCATTGTTTTGTAGCATTGATTTCACTAGATTATGACTTCATCCTCTAGGTGAGAACATTTTTCAGTACGATACCAAAATCGGTCGGATAGAATGCCCAGAAAGGAAAACCTGGAGTTTGGAAGGACAAAAAAAAGAGCTATATTTGGAAAAGGCAAAGGATACCAATGTTCAGCATGTAATTGTAGGTAGAAAAATGAAGTGATATAAAAATTAGAGGCAAAAGCTTCCGAATAATCGAGTTGGTTTAGAATTGACTAGTGTTAGCATTAACACGATTTGATACAACACATTTGACACCATTACTCCATTGCTGACGGCAGCAGTGGGCAACAATCTATTCTGCTTCTCTCTGATTGTGCCTTCCACTAAATTTTTGGGCATGATCCACGTTGCCTACTCATCCAATTTTTCCTATTGATGTTGGGTCTTGTCAATTATTATCTCGAAACCCATATAAGAAAGAGGGAACAATTCTAAGTATTGGGGTTGGAGAGGGTATGTCGATGATTAAATACATATGGGTTGATTTTATAGTCAAATAAATGACTAGACGTAAATATGCACGTTTTGAGTTTGAATCTTCTTAATGTTAGAATTAAACACTTTCTGTTGGAGCTTCTAGGAGTATAAACTAGGGGGAAAAAATAAGTATAAAGGTAGGAGTAATACTACATGAACTTAAAATTAGACTTGATAATCTCAACCATTGAATAAGTAGTAGGTCCTAATAAATGCTGGTTGAGATTATCAAATCTAGTTTTTAAGTCTACTTTTTAAGTTCATGTAACATTGCTCGAAAGGTAGGAACTCCTAAATTAAACCCCTCCCGTTGTGGACATGATTGTATCCATCCTAAAGTTTTTTTGAAAGGTTCTTATGGAACCGAGTTCTTTTGATCTCTCTCTCTCTCTCTCTCTCTCTCTCGTCAACATTGACTTTTCCCTTGCACTCTTCTTTGAAACTTTAATATAAGGATACTTGAGAATTGAGATTAGTTAGGTTGGGATAAGTTATGTAACTAATTCACAAAAAAGATTAAAAAAAACAAACGGGTTTAGAGATAAAACAAAATTGAACTCGTCAAGATAGTTCGGATACACATACTCGAGGTATGACTATCTTGATTGAATTTATGGGCGATTGTGTGCTGTAATCACAACGCCAAAAAATACTAATGTTTGCAGTGTACTTAAGTATGTACATTACATCATGTGCGTGTGTATGGCAAAAGATGAACAAGCTTTTAAGCTAGTTAGGTACAAGGTAAGTAGATATTTATGTTACTTTAAATATAGGATTATTTATAATTTGTCCCCTCAAACTATGTCTCTTGTTGCAATTAGTTCCCTATGATTTTAAATGCTATAATTTGTCTCACTCAAGTTTCAAACAGACTAAATGGACTGACAACAGTGGTTGGAACATGAAAATATCATTACATCCTCCATTTTATATATTTTTTTTTTTTAACATTCCAATTCTGTTCCTAAAAATAAGAAAACGGAAAAGCCAAGAAAAAAATGTATCTATTCAACTCAATACTAATACACTGCACAATACCATATTCGCCTCCACCTCCATCTCCACCTTCGCTTTCACCCAACAATAACACATGTGTGAGCATACATATACACTCTTTTCAGGAATAGTTGTGTTTTTTCAAAAAAGTAGATATCATATGAATTTTTCAAGTCTAACTTATGTCATTTTTTATGGTCTAAAATTAACTATTGAAGTTAATTGCAAAATATTCAAATTTAAAAGGATTATTTGTTGAAATTAAAACTTGAAGGGATGAATGACAAACTACTCAAAGTTGGAGGGAGTATTTTGTAATTAACCCTAGAAAAATATTGTGCCCGTCTGTTCCATTTTCTTTCCATGATGGGAAAATGGGGTCTTTCAAGCACTTCATAGTTCATTCCCAATGAAGAACTTAAACAATTAGTACAACTAGTAAGGCTTTTTCCCCAGTGTTGTCCAAAGGGCCAAAATGGGAACAATAATTATTGAATCAGAAAGCATTATAATTCATGCATTAGCATAGGATATTCTATACCTTTCACTTTAAATCCTTCACTTGCTTATTATATAGCAATAATTTAAAATGTCTACAAACCAAAAAACTATGTGGGTCAAAATGCAATTTCTTTTTCTTCTTTGATAGCTTTTTTCCCTACTTTTGTTTTATTTTCTTTTCCTTGATATTTTATATATTAATGTAAGATTTTAATTGCAAATAATTTGATGTAGCGCTACCACATAGCTGATTAGACTAACAACTAGCAATTTTGGTAAATGATGGGATTTTCTGTAAATAAATAATCAAACTTGGAATAAATCTATGTGCCACTATGGTTTCCATTTGAATAAAAACCAACTATGTAGGGAGATCTTGGTAAATTCAAATGGTAAAAAGAAAAAAACACTGAAGCACTATTTCTTTAATTTGATGGCATTTTTGTATCATACATAACTTTTACGATAGTGAAGGATTAGATTAAATTCTCTGGAAAGAATTTGATTAAATTCTCAAGGGAACATAGATTTTGTATCTCGATCTTGCCTTATTTATCTTGGCCCTTGATCTTAACAGTCTTGTCTTGTTGGATTTATGGCTATCACAATCTACCCCTAAAGGTGAGCACGACGGAGAGGTCACTCTAATACTACCTTGTGATGCATTAATTTCTACCATCAAAATGTTATTTGTATCGCACATAAGCTTGCAATTAAAATAAAAAAGGAATACAAAACTATGTTTTGAGTACAAAAGTAAAAGACAAGTCAAATCATGATATGAGACAGCAGGCATTAGAATTCAACCAAATCTTATATGTATTCTCAATTCCATTGATTAATGTTTAGGAATATGATTATTGTTGTTGAAGAACTTGTGCATTGTGTCCACCACCTACTGTTGATGAGAGAGAAAAAAAAACCCCATTTGGAATCTGATTGATGGGAATAAGGTCATTCCATGGATGGTTTTCGAGGCGAATTTCATAATCAATAAATGGATTCCAATCTCATATTGGACCCAATTCGATTAAATGAATAAGGTTTGTCCATGGATAGATTCTGGTCAAAATTCATAATCAAGGAATTGGTTCGAATCTTTTATCCAACCCAATTTGAATGAATGAATTTTAATAAGTTATATATGAATTTTAATACAATTTTATCAAATAAATGACGTATACTGGATCCAAAAAAATATATTGCAATAATGAAGAAGAAAGCCACCCTCTTAGTTGTTGTAAATTATCTTTGAGAAAAGTATTCTTATGGGAACTTATCGATAACGTGACTTCTTTTGAAAAGATTGAGACTCAATTATAGTTTAACATGCTCGCTTACTAAATCCTTCTTCTTTTAAGAGTTTTTTTGAAGCCCCTTTTTAACACCTTCTTTTTGGTTGATAATAGTTTCTTAAAATTGAGCCTGAGTGCTACATGATGGGATAGATTTGAGATTGATTTACTTATTATGTAGAATATAATAGTTATAGTGGTAAAGAAATACAAAAAAAAATAGTATTTTTTAACTTAATGGACAACATGTCAATATTTTAATCAAAAAACTATAGACTGGAGCCTCATTATATACGTTTTGATTTTATTTGAAATAAGCTCGAATTTGAGTTCGTAATACAAAGAAAAGCTAAATAGTGTCAAATCTGACTATTCAATCAAAAAATCAAATTAAACTTAAGTAAGAATTCAAGTTTAACCACCAATCTTGATGTGGATCAAGGTTGATCTTGTGATTCAATCCGACATGAGTTCGAGTATATCAAAAATTTAAAAAGCTCATCTCTTTTAAAACCCTATTTGATATGATGTCATTCAAAATTTTTCCCCCCTTTCAAAATGAAAAAAGGGGAGTTCCAACATTGGGTCCAAGGCCACATTGAGTCCAAGGCCCAATAGGTAAAGTAATAAAGCCCAACTCAAGCTGAGGCTCACTTACTTGGCAAATAAGGCCACAATACATAAAATTCACTCATTGGGATTATGAGATGATTTGAACTGTCTTTTATGTTGAAATTATGTTGTTCATTTGATATATTTATATTTTGTTTTAAAATGATTTGAACCTTTNAAAAAGGGGAGTTCCAACATTGGGTCCAAGGCCACATTGAGTCCAAGGCCCAATAGTTAAAGTAATAAAGCCCAACTCAAGTTGAGGCTCACTTACTTGGCAAATAAGGCCACAATACATAAAATTCACTCATTGGGATTATGAGATAATTTGAACTGTCTTTTATGTTGAAATTACGTTGTTCATTTGATATATTTATATTTTGTTTTAAAATGATTTGGACCTCTTTTTGTCACTAAAATTCAAATTCAGTTTTACTTTATTATATAAATTATTTTATCATCTTTTAAATCAATGATTAAAAATTATTTAAATTAATATTAATGATTAAGGAATTGTTATAGTACTAAAATATACTTTTCGGTACTATGATTCCACTTTTTGACTAATAAAAAAGTGTCATTTGCACATTTTTGTAATTTATTATTTTTTATTATTATGTGTGAANTATAGTACTAAAATATACTTTTCGGTACTATGATTCCACTTTTTGACTAATAAAAACGTGTCATTTGCACATTTTTGTAATTTATTATTTTTTATTATTATGTGTGCATTTTTAATTTATTACTTTTTATTATTTCATCATTTTTTCAATCAATGATAATAAGTCATGTAATTTAAAATCAACAATCCGAAACATTTTTCAACACAGTACTGCAGAGATTGGAAAGCTTCTAAAAAGTTAGAGGGCTCAGTTGACACAGACTTTAGTTTAGGGGCTTAATTAAAACATGCGGTATAGTTTAGGGTGGATCTATATAATTTAGTCTTCGTTTTAGGAAAGTAGCCCCTCGGGTGATTATATTAAAATCCTCAAAACATTAAAAAAAAAAAAAAACCCAACACTTCCTTCTCCCCTCGGCCTGCCGGCCGGCCGGCAATTTTGTCTCCTACTTTCCTAATTCAGAANAAAAAAAAAAAAAACCCAACACTTCCTTCTCCCCTCGGCCGGCCGGCCGGCCGGCAATTTTGTCTCCTACTTTCCTAATTCAGAATCTCTCTCTCTCTCTCTCTCTCTCAAAATGGACATATCAACTATAAACCTCACTCAACCACTATGGGTTCTTCCCTTCCCCTCGTTTCATGGCTTCTTCTTCCTCATTCTCGGCCATCTTCATCATAATCAGCCTATATACCTTCTTCACAATAGCTCGCTCATCGACCATCGGCGTCGACTCTATTTCACGCCTTCTCGAAATTNGCTCGCTCATCGACCATCGTCGTTGACTCTATTTCACGCCTTCTCGAAATTCAGAATCGAGAGAGAGCTCCGCCGTCAGTGCAATTATCCGCCGCTCGCGGTGTTCTCAATCGCCTCATTCCATCGCACTACAACAGTTTCGAGTTTCAGATCATCTCTAAGGTATTTGAAGTCTTGATTTCCTTCCACTTTCCACTGAAGGTTACTATAGAATTAATCAATTTTTATTTCTCAGAGTATTTGCCAAATTTTTGATATGTGGGTCTTTGTGCTTTATAAGACATGAAAATTTTGAGTCAGATTCAAGTAATGTTTTTTGAAAATTTTGATTCTTTTTTTTTGTTTTGAGAGAAAAAAGTATATAGGAAATATGAGATTTTTTTTCCTAAAGAAAGAATTCAATGTATGTTTATACAGTAGGATTGAAGAAAGATATCTCAGGTTGAATTATAAGAAGGAGCCTTGACCAACACATAGACAAGGAGGGTGTGCTTGATAGGAATTGAACATCACTATCGGTGGTCCTAGAAGTTTGTCAAAACTTTATTTCACAATGCTAATTGGCTTGAGGAATAAAGAATCGTACTTCTTTGGTATAGGGNAAAGAAAGAATTCAATGTATGTTTATACAGTAGGATTGAAGAAAGATATCTCAGGTTGAATTATAAGAAGGAGCCTTGACCAACACATAGACAAGGAGGGTGTGCTTGATAGGAATTGAACATCACTATCGGTGGTCCTAGAAGTTTGTCAAAACTTTATTTCACAATGCTAATTGGGTTGAGGAATAAAGAATCATACTTCTTTGGTATAGGGTCTTACTCAGTTATCCAAGGATGAATGATATATGGTATCGAAACTTATCAGCTTCTTAGTTCAAAATATTTTTTTCAGATTGATCTAAAGAAAATATATTTTTGGAGTCAAGTTACATCATTTTTTGGGGTCAAGTCACACCGTATACGAAGCACACATATTTTATNTTTTTCAGATTGATCTAAAGAAAATATATTTTTGGAGTCAAGTTACACCATTTTTTGGGGTCAAGTCACACCGTATACGAAGCACACATATTTTATTTTGATCAAAGTATCCATATCGAATATGATACTCTTTGGATACTCAATGATTCATCTCGGATATGCATTCCACATATTAATAGAATTTTTCTTTATTCTTGAATATGTGTCGAATACACATTACAATTATCCAATAGTTGATAGAATATTTTTTGCTTCTGGATGCATCTTAGATATGGGTATTTGTGACAAATATACATTAGATAAAGAAGTGGATACACAGCGCAATATATATAAACTTTAAATCTTAATCTTTACTGCTTCCTCTTGAAACCAAATACAATGATACTCATAAAGAAAAATTCACATAGCTTAGGTGTTTCGTAAATGTTATCTACTACCCCATATCAAAAGAAAATAGAATGGGTTAATTCACTTTCTCTTTGGGTAATAAGTCTTCTAAGCAAATCAACTATTTAAATTTGATTCTAATTCTTTTAATTAGTTGCACGCCCTTTATGGGCATACCATGATAACACGATCTATATGCTTATTGGAAAGTAAAAATTGCGTAGTTTTTAATTCTTACTAAAAAGTTTACTAGAAATTTTAAAAATAACCACTAGATAATAGTATATAAATTTTATTATAGTTGTATTTTGGACATATCCATATCTTATTTTTTTAAGGTTTTTTGTATCACTATTTCCATATCCCTATATTTCGTATTCCTATCGGTGCTTCTAGGTTAGTGTTTTGGGATGTTTGAGATGGTATCCATCCTAAATATACGGATTGATTGTAAACATGCCAAAATTTTGTAGCTCAACCCAAAAAGTTAGTATTTTATAATACTATACCAAAATACACTTTTTGGTACCATAGACTTACACTTGTTTATTATCTCATTTTATCTTCATGTGTCTAGTTGTATACCAGAGAAAAGCTCTTACACTAACAGTTACTTTCATTGTAGGATCAATGTGGTGGAGTATCTTGCTTTGTAATAAGCAATCATCCTTCTTCTAGCAAGCGTGGCAATCCAAAGATTTTGTATGTTCATATTTTTACTCGTCTAAACCCATGTTTTTCAACATAAAAATATTTACACAAAATAAACTTTAAATACAAACTACAGTGAAATAAAAAATATGTTTACATTGAGAAGTATGAATTTAAATCACATTTTTCTATAAAACTATGATAATTTGGAAAATAAGAGAAAAACTACAGTAGAATGGGAACAAAGTTTTAAATCACAGTAGTATAAAANGAAGTATGAATTTAAATCACATTTTTCTATAAAACTACGATAATTTGGAAAATGAGAGAAAAACTACAGTAGAATGGGAACAAAGTTTTAAATCACAGTAGTATAAAAATTGATTCGTGTGTAATGTGCATGCAAAGTGTCTCTTCATCACAAACCCTAACTGCTCACATGAACTTGGTGGGTTATCCATATTAAATGACTTCAGATTAGTCCATAAATTATGTGGGGTAAAGTTAAGGTTCAAAATATTGTCAATATACATATTTTTGATAGGGAACGAAACATATTGTATTAAAATAAAAGCGGAATTACATGAAAGGCAGTTGGATAAGAAATTCAACCACAACAGAATGTCAATATACATAAGCGCATATACATTGCAAAAGCATCCACTAATTTGTCACTATTAGCTAATATACTAATTCATAATTTTCATTGATGAAATAGGGCGCATGCTTCTTAGGAAGTCAAGTTAGTTCTTGCCAAAATCATGCCCCCGACATGAAAGTTAGAGGATTTGGATTTAGTGATAAACTGGTAAACACATTAGGCCCGTCTAATAAATCAGTCGACACACACCAACTATACAAGTTACAACCCATCTAAACACAGCTCATACACGACATGAACCTTATATAGCATGATCCCAACTATACATAGCTATAAATATGGGTTGACCATATTTTGACATGACATGACTTACACGATTTAGAAAGCATTACAAGAGACATTCCTACTTCCAAACAATATTTCTAGTGATTTCAGATGGCTGCACACAACTGTATGTGTTCACATCAACTCTTTCTTAACCTCAGTGTATTTTCTTTTTCCTAGAATAAGTGGAGTCACTGGGGTGGAGCTTTTGGCTGGTCTACATTGGTACTTGAAGTTTTGGTGTGGAGCACATATATCATGGGATAAAACTGGTGGTGCACAACTATCTTCAGTGCCTAATTCAGGCTCTCTTCCTCATGTTCAAGATGACGGAGTATTAATCCAAAGACCTATTCCTTGGAACTAGTACCAGAATGCTGTTACATCCAGCTGTAAGCCTCAATTTTATGAATAAATATTTAATGGAAAAATGATAATACCACGTTTTCATTGACATGTTACAAACAAACACCTTGGATTATGGAACACTACTAATCCAACATTGTAGTTGTTGGATGTGGAAGTTATTGGTGGTTTTAGGTTTTGTTAGATCCACTAGTTCTACATGTTTGGTTGTAATTTATTGATGTTAGGTTTTATTTTTGTCTCTAGCTGTCAGAAGCAAGCTTCACAGTTGCAAGGAATATTTTGATAATTTGTCTCTTTCCCCATTTGTTTTTTGGAAGATTCCTTTGCTTGGTGGGACTGGGAAAGATGGGAAAAGGAGCTTGACAGGATGGCTCTCCAGGGTATCAATTTGCCCTTAGCATTCACTGGGCAAGAAGCTATTTGGCAAAAAGTTTTCCAAGTTTTTTTTCTTCTTGGTTTACATATCTTTCTTTTTGAACCTTAGCGTCTTTGATGTTACAATTTTACAAACNTAGATTCCTTTGCTTGGTGGGACTGGGAAAGATGGGAAAAGGAGATTGACAGGATGGCTCTCCAGGGTATCAATTTGCCCTTAGCATTCACTGGGCAAGAAGCTATTTGGCAAAAAGTTTTCCAGGTTTTTTTCTTCTTGGTTTACATATCTTTCTTTTTGAACCTTAGCGTCTTTGATGTTACAATTTTACAAACTTATGAAATTGTTAAATAATCTCTTCATTTCAGCTTGCAAATAGAAAATGAGGAAAAATTAGAAAAAGAAAAACTATGCATGCAGCTTAACTTAGGTAAAATGTTTGAATCTAGATGTTGCCATTTCTACTTATATCGTTGATTTGCATGATAATAATTTGACATTGTAGATTAGGATACATTGGTAGCAATAGAAAGAATCGCATGAGTTAGTTCTTTTAAAATTTCTATCTTAAGTTCTTAACTACTCAAAATAATGAATGTTGTGCCCAAGCAAAGAATTAAGNATTGATTTGCATGATAATAATTTTTGACATTGTAGATTAGGATACATTGGTAGCAATAGAAAGAATCGCATGAGTTAGTTCTTTTAAAATTTCTATCTTAAGTTCTTAACTACTCAAAATAATGAATGTTGTGCCCAAGCAAAGAATTAAGAAATCATTAAATCCGTTTCTAGAACTACTACATTGCTAGAATTAATACATACCGATGTATATGATAATATAGATCATGGATGATTTTCTAACTTTTATGGATGATTATTCGAAATATACCTATGTGTTTTTGCTTAGAACAAAAGATTAAACTGTAGAAAAATTCAAAAATGTTTGAAGAAGCTGAAAAGAGTCTTGGGAAAAGAATTTAGAGAATTAGATTTGNTTCTAACTTTTATGGATGATTATTCGAAATATACCTATGTGTTTTTGCTTAGAACAAAAGATTAAACTGTAGAAAAATTCAAAAATGTTTGAAGAAGCTGAAAAGAGTCTTGGGAAAAGAATTTAGAGAATTAGATTTGATACAAGTTACTAATACCGCCTAAATAAGTTTATTAACATTTGCGAAACACATGAAATACTTAGAGAAGAATCATCCCCCAATACTCCTTCAAAATGGTGAAGCTGAACAAAAAAAATGACTTTATTAGAAATGGTTAGTACTATACTAATAAATTCAAAATTGTCTACCGATCCTATCTTCACAGTTTTATATCTTAACTGTTTTTCTACTTTGAATCTCTACAATCTGTTTACCCCACAATAATCACTTTTAGATCAAGCATTTGCTAGAGNGGGCCTTTCAAACTAATACCTATCTGAATCATTTCCCAGCAGATCGTCTGAACTGGTGTGACCAAATTTGCAGTTTGAATGGAATGCAAGAACTCAAATTACCATGTGGTTTGACAATACAAAAGAGGAGGCTAGTCTGCTTCGTGACTACGGTAAGGGAAAGGCTTAACCCTTAAGCTCCACCTTTTATAAGTTATCCATGAATATTCTTTATAATTTCACTTGTAGCATTACATATACAACAAGCCATTGGTGCTGAAACAAAAAAAAAAATCCTTCTGGGTAATCTAATCATTAAACAGGCTTATTCGTCTGGGCATTTCCCTATTGATCCTTGCTGCACAACTTTTCCAAAAGAGGATACTATTTGATTGAGTATCGAGAGTTAATTATTCAAGTACCCTTGTTATGAAACATATTTACCTAAATGCTGTAGTAAACTTATTTAACAAATTACTTCAGAAATTATTATTATTTTTTTTTTTATCAAACAAGAGTAAAATATTTCATTTAAGTACGAAAAGCCAAATTACATCCAGTCAGAATAGAAGCCTTAAGCTCGGGTGGGGGATAGTTAGTCCAACTCAACGGAAGCAAGTTGTTCATAGCAGAGGCTCCCACCCTTTGAGCAGCCTTGTTTGTTGCTCTCAGCTTGTGTAAAAAACTAAGGTTATGTAACCTAACATATTATCTTATGTCTTCCACAAATACACTGATTTCCCATGGAGGAACATCCTGGGTGGAGCTAAGTTTGATAATGTTGAAGCAGTCATTCATGATTGTGATATTTGCCATTCATCTTGAATCTGCAAGGAAGCATGCTTGTCCAACCGCTGCTGCAGAAGCATGCTTTTAATACACGCTTTTTAATGTAAAAATGTGTTTTTCAATGCAAAGTTTCAAAGCAACGTATTTTTGGAAACAACAGTAATTAGATAATTTATTTTTGAGTATCGGGTCATGATAATTTTTCTGCCTGTTGTAGGAAACAAGTATTGGAGCGGACTTCTAAGTGATTATTATGGCCCCCGAGCAGCTATCTATTTCAAATTATTGGTAGAGAGCTTAGAGGAGGGTGATGGTTTTCGGTTAAAAGATTGGAGGAAGGAGTGGATTAAGCTCACAAATGATTGGCCGAGCAGCAGGAATGTGTTCCCTGTGAAGAGTGTGGGGGATGCCCTTAAAACATCCCGGTGGCTTTATGAGAAGTACTTGCAAGAACCTGACACATACGATTTCTAAAAGCTACTGTCACTGTGCAATTGTAGTGGCATATTTGCGATGGCTGATGATACTTCTCCACTGGAATAACCATGAACTGGTTCTCAATGCTGAAATATTTCTCCTACATGTCACCTTCTATTGGCCTGTCTAAACTCTCGTATTTTTTGGTTTGATAGCATTTTTGATTCTTAAAGTATATATGTTTTGTCAATTTGGTCTCTAAAGTATTTAATTCATGTTTAAATTGTCCCTATCTAGACAGACCGTTAAATTTTTGATAGAATGATCTCATGTTGGTTACGTAATATTATCTGAAAAGGATGATATGTGGTCATTTTTGTCAAAAAATTTAACGAATCGTCTGATTAGAGATCAAAATGACACAAATATATATTTTAAGGATCAAATTGACAAAATTAATACAATGAGAATTAAACTAACAAAACATAATATTTTAGGAATTAAAAGTGTTATTGACCTTTATTTTTTCACTAATAATATTGGATCATAATTTAGAAACATAATTTATGAACTTAATACATTATGATTATTAGGTTGATAGTGTTAGGACTTAGTGATATTTTAATATTGGGATCCATTAACAATCTAATGATCATAATCATTAGATTTTCAAATTATGTCACAATAGCATTGCTCTTTTTTTTTTTTTTTGATGAATTTAAGGTTGGGAATTCTTAGCAACCCGACAAAAAGTGACAAAATGAACACAAAGTTAATAGGTATACATTTAGCCGTGATATGTTTGAGTACTCTTTTAATAGAATGAATCCAACTATTTCGCGATACAAATTCAACTTGTACACAACATAAATTTGACACAATAAAAACTCAATTGTACATTTTTATAAATAAATCATGTATGGATTGAATAACTTTTGATATGACATGACCCTCGTTCAAACCTTCCACCTCCAAATTTTTTCTTGCAATTTCAATTGTTCTATTTTTAGGTTGATTATAAACGATAGTTAATTAAAGACATCAGGCTAATAAATGACATCCCTTTAATATATTTTTTTATTTTTTATTATTAGTAGACCGCCCATAATATATAATTAGAGATTCATTTATAGACAATCTATCTTTGTTCAATTCAAACCAAAAAACCTCAAAATTAAAAAAATAAAAATAAAAAATTGAACGAGAAATGAATTTTGCAAAAAAAAAAAAGGAAAAATGTGGATTACCAAACACGAATTCAGCTCTACTATTCCATGGTAAAGAAAAAGTCCTCGTAACAGTTTGTGGTCAAATTTGGTTAGCATCAACACAACAAAACCTATTCAAATTCTAGCCTTCTAGATTACTATATGACTGGTTACTCAAAAAAAAGATTACTATATGACTGTTAACTAGTGGATTAGTGGCTGTAAAAGGGCCCTAGGTCTAGAAGGTTTTTCGAAAAGANTTACTATATGACTGGTTACTCAAAAAAAAGATTACTATATGACTGTTAACTAGTGGATTAGTGGCTGTAAAAGGGCCCTAGGTCTAGAAGGTTTGACTACGGTGTCCAAGTAGATAATTTTTACAATTGAAGATATAACTTTTGAAGGAAAATTTATGATATCAAAAAAAAAAAAATGGTTTTGCATAAAAAATTATTACTTTTAAATGAAAAGTTACAACTAATTAAGAAATGTTCGTATCGATTATGAGATTCTCTTATACTCCGTTTGGTATGATGGAAAAATATAAAGATGAAAAGTTGGAGGAATAAATAAAATATCATGTTTGGTAAGTAAGGAAAATAGGAAGGATGAAAAAGTAGATGTATTAACTTTCCTTCCAACTCATCAAAATCAATCTCCTAAAATCGAAAGAAAAGTGGATGAAAAGTTAATTATTTGTATTGAGATGTATCTTATTTATATATATATATTTAAAAAATTTAAATTTTAAATTTTAAATTAAAAAAAATATTTTTTCCATCTTAATTGAGGCTGAAAATTTTTGACTTAACACGATGACACGACTCGAACTCGACATGAATTTTATAACACGAACTTGATTAACTCGAACACAAACATGACAAAAATAAACAGGTCAACTCGTAACTTAACACAACACAATTAGTTAAATGAGTTAAGTTATGTGTGACTAATGTTCGACACAAACCCGTAATAACTTAACACGAATCTAACACAACCCGACTCGACTCAATTGTCACTCTTAATCTTAGTCGGCACAAAAAAAAATAGTCATTTTTATTTTCTATTCATCTAATTAAACACAAAAAAAGGAAAGTGTATCATTCTTATTTTTCTCCCTTGAAAAATAGAAAATATATCACTCCTATTTTTCATCCTTTTTACTAAACAGAACATTAAGCAGTTGTAACTTCTCATATACAAGTTGTAACTTAATATTTGAAAGTTGTAATTTTTATGATCAATCATAATATTTTAAAATCGATCATGTCTTTATAAATTATAATTTGTACCTCAAAAAATAATAACTTAAACATTAAAAAATTGTAATTTTTGAAACGGTATGATAGTCTTTTCCCACTTTTGGGGGTGTAATTACAACAAAAAATAGTTAAGATCAATCCTAAAAATAATTTTTTTGGGGTCATATAATATTTTTGAATTAATTTAAAAATTTAAGGGTCAAATTATTTGGTTCGATTCTTCTGTTGTTAGTTTTTAACAGTAGAGATACTTACTATTGATTAAAACGATGCTATTTTCATCAACAACGCATCTGCTATTAATTTTTTAAGGATCCTCACCCTAGATTATTACTTTCTCCGTTTTTAAATATCTGTCGTTTAAAGTTTTTGTACAAAAATTAAAGATTTATTAAATAGTTCTAATATGAGTAAAAAATAATTACACAATATTAAAATACTCTTATTCAATACGTATTGGGAATGAAAAGAATATAAAAAGCACTTAACCTTCACCTAATCTAATGTATTGAAAAGTTAAGGGTAAATTTGAAAGAAAAAATATTAATTATGCTTTAATTTCATTAAACGACATATATTATGAAACAAAAAAAATTGTATAAAATGACAAATATTTAAAAATAAAAGGAGTATTTTAAATAGTCTATGATGAATTTCAACATTTAAGACCGCATTTATAACATGATTCTTAAAAATTATGGTACCAAAATTTCTTGGACTTATACGACTCAGAAAGTTCTAGAAGCCATGTGAGAAAGTGGGAAGTTTCTTTAATTCCACGCAATGGTATTCAAGTAGGGTGGCGTGCCAACGGCCGCGTGATCGGAGTGGTTACGGTCAAATGTGTTCCGTTTTATTTTACAAGCTGACGGTTACACGGCTCTGTGAAATTACATTACTGCCCTTACCATTCTCTCATTTGTATTTATTGTATGCAATCTATTATTATAAAAAAAAAATATCAAAAAAATTATATTAGGGTGGACCTAACTTAAGCACAATTTTAGCAACAATAAATATGAAATCTTATGTTTTTATCTCACATTTATTTGAATAAATGTAGGTAAGGCTGTTAGACAAGTCAAACTTAAACACTTTTTAAAACTCGTTTATGTATAAATAGTCAAACGAGTCAGCTCGTTTATGTGTAAATTCAACTCGATTTAGGCTCGAATTCAGCTCGATTAACACCCTTAAATGTAAAATGGAGGGAGATTCCAAATTCCAAAGAGTAATGCTATTTGGATATAAAAATCTAACCTAATTTGTTGACATAATGATGTGACTTAATAAGAATTATTGGATCAACACTAAGTTCTCATGTTTGATGGGCCCTACAATTAATCCAAAAATTACAGTAAATTAGATCAAAATTTGAGGTCTCAATAACATTGCTCAATCTCAAATGGGTAATCATTTAACCAAATGAAAGTTTCTAATATGTATAATTGGAAAAGAACTATATTATTCGAGAAAGATTCAAAGGAAAATAAAGAATTATTTGGCTTGATGAAATTTTTTTGCCTCATGTAAATATGCCCTTACGAAAATATGATTAGTGGATTACCCAGTTAAATATGAAAATTGATTGGCATAAATTCTTGAAGAATCGAGATCTAATGGGACTACAAGTGTAGCTTAATAATGGACTTTAAAAAAATATTTTTGAAAATAATGGATGGTATTAAATATCCAATTTTCATCTCTACCCAAAAAAAAAAAAAAGATGATAATCTTACTCAATTAAACTATGTTATTACGACATTATTAAAATATGACATCACAATCCAATAAACATGGCATTTTATATAAGCAGAATAAATTATTAATACACGAAAAATCTAATTTAATAACCATCCCCACCACACATTACATCTCAAAGTATCAAAAATATCATTGTGAAATAAATAGAGTACCAAGTGTATCAATAACGGGAAGGAAAGCAAGGGTGTTTTGGTCCTTTAATGGCATTGTCGACGTCAAATACACCATTGCTCACGTGTTATTTTCCAGTTAGCACTCGCAGGTTTTATATAGATTTTGTTGAATGTTGACCACACGCCATTTCCCTTCATCAACAACACGGAAAAAGGCTTCTGTATATATATAATATAGATACAGCTTCTAACTCCCCAAACCTATTCTCTCTCTCTCTCTCTCTC